AATCAATTATTAAAAAGAAAAAAAACTTCCTTCTTATTGTGTTCCCAGTTAGATTCAATGTATTGAACCACAATTAAAGTGCGGGATATACACCATGCTGGCTAAAAATGAAAAAAACAAAACAACCAAGAAATGGGGCTCGTAAGTAGGTCACGGGACTATGTCAGACCTTTCATTGTTTTAGTACTTACGTGACAAACAACGTTTCATGGCAATTGCGATAGCAGTGTTATGTCGGACAGAGCCCGGGTTATCACGCTAGTAGTGTAACTTAGAAAACCATGACATGTCACAGACATTAAAACACTGGAGTTCGGTTGCACGAATAGCATGTGTAGCTTTTCAAAGCAGTTGCAGTGTTGTCAAGACGTCCTGTGATCGATGTCAAACTGGCCGCTACCCATTCATATATTGAGTCAGTTTTCACTGTTCTGATAGGCTGGTGTAATTGCCGGTGTTCAAGTCACTACTGATCGGTTAATCATCACACGTACAGTGGTGATGGCGTGGAAATATGAGCAGAAACAGTCGTTGTACGACTCGTTTGATTTAATTGGTTATTTATTGTCAAGAAGAAATAATTAATTAACTTTTGCTCCCCGTTTGTGCACCATACAATGCTATGTCAAATTTCGCTCACATCAGCCCTGAGCCTTTTCCAAAATTAATTGTTCAGCTCTGATAACTAACGTCACAGAATCATATTTTTGTATCCAGGGTAGATGACACAAACAAAAGTAATAAGTAAGCATTCTATGTGCTTGTGGGCAATGGAAATTTGTGAATAGTTGTCAATACTTGTAATATCTCTATGTAATCATAAGCAAAGACCTGTGTTAATAAAAAAAAGAAGACATGTGACAATATCATGATGATAATGTTATGTGCATTAAAAGTCAGGTTTTATTTAAAAAAACTATTAATCTAATTTCTTCATTTTGAATGATTAAATCCTTGCAATGTTTGTTTATAAGATCTCTGAAGACTATAATTATTAGATTTAAAAGGGTCCTTATTTATTTCCGATAAACCGAGAAGTATATGCTGCCCAAAAAAAAGGAACGCGAAAAACGAGAGAAAAAGACTTGACTGAAACGTCACTGAAACAGCTAACTGCTTGGATCACTTGATAATGAAACTATGGAGACGTAAAAGTGGACTCGAAATGAAATTGAACTGATTAATGGAGATCTTAAAGAAATAAGTCGGGTTAAAACAAATGGGATGTTAATAAGATGGAAATGGGAGAAAAAACATCTTAATATTTATAGAACCTGGAAGCAAGAAAGCATACATGGGTGTTGAAACCGTTAGTGGAAATAGAATAACGAAGCAACAAGAGATTCAGAATGAAGTGAGATCATTCTACAAAAACCTGCACAAAACAAGAAGTTTCAAGTGTTTATCTAAACAATCTATTAGATAATGTTCATATTCCTAAACTTTCAGATAATACTACAGCAAAGGGGAACTCAGTTATGACGAAGTACTACTTCCTGTAAAATCCTTAAAAAGTGAGAAAAGTCCTGGCCCGGATGGATTTACAGCAGAATATATTACGATTTTTGGGTTAGACCTAGGAAAATGTCTTATTCGATCGTTGAATGCAGCTTTCAGACAGGGATCGCTATCAGTCTCTCGGAAACAAGGTTTTATAACTTGCATTCAAAATGAAATAAACCAAAATACTTCCTTAAAAATTTGAGACCGATATCACTACTTTCAATTTTGTATGAAACTGGATCATTAACTATATCCAAAAGAATGAAATCAGTACTAATGAAGACCAAAAGGGATTTAAGCCCGGCAAATATGTCGGAGAAATAAGTAGATTTGTCTTTGACTTGATGGAATAAACAGAGGCATTTGATGCTGTCGAATAGAAATGTATAGATAAGACGTTAGCTTTCTTCAACTTTGGATCATCTATGCGTAAATGGATAATAATATTTTAAAACGCAATTGAATCTGGTCTATTGATAAATGGCTTCGGCTCCGAATTCTTTAATGTTTCGGGAGACTGTCATCAGGGCGACCAGGAACCAGGAGTACCAAAAATCAAAGAATTAATTCAAGCTCAAAGGTTTTTAATAATAAGACGTTATTACAAGAAAAGATCAATACGGTGTACTATATTTGAAAAGAAATATACCAATGTTCATCAACGATTTAATAGACAAAATTGGCCAGTTTCTAACCTTTCCGAGAGTCAAAGAGATTTATGATGTCAATACCAACATATCTCCAAACTTAAGATTGACCAAAGATTGAACCTCCCCCTCCTCCACCCAATTTATTTCATCAACTGAAAGAAGAAAGGAGTCACGTTATTTCTACACAACATTAATTTAGAACCACTGCCGCACGAATCAACATATTTAGAACATTATCATACTAACTGCAGACACGTTTCTCCAGATAAATATTGCTAAAATACAACATGATCCCGTTTAGATGTACAGGGCACACTCCACTGCAGCGGTTTCAATACAAAATCCTACACAACATCTTACCAACTAACAATTTGTTAAAAAAATGGATTATGTCAACAATGAAACATGTGACTTTTGTACATTAGAATTAGAAACTATACTACATGTGTTTTTGGAATGTAGAACAATTCGTTTACTTTGGACATACTTGGAAAGTTGTTCTTTTGAACAAATAGAATTGAAAATCGTCATGCACGTGCTTTCTACATTGCATAAAATCATATTATCTCCTTAATAATAAATACTAGTATTTAAAAAATAACTTTCTACTTACAACTAACAACTACTATGTTTTGGGGAAAATTACTTACAGATATTAAAGGTGCGTGACAGTAAATATGACCAAATATAATACATATTGAATTTTTTAAGTTTCAACCACATGACTGGTTGAACAAGTACTATAACTACTAAAGAATAAATGAATACAATTTACTAAGATGCATTTCGCGTTTATAAATTCATAGCATAGGTTTTCCAAATTTCATCCTCCACGGCACGGCTTCCATGTCACTGCTCTTGCTGTCAGATGCCAGAATACCATGGTAATTGTGATAATTTGGTCTACCTATTTTATGGCATCTTCATAAATAATCTTACATCCCAGAAACAAGTAACACGTAATCACAAAACACTGTCCATTGAGAACATAAATACATTTTTCTGAACGATAGTACCCCACTGGTTGTCAAAAGTATTTTAAAGATAAAGGAGGTGAACACATACCTTTCGAAAGGTCCTATGGTTGTCAGTTGTCAGTCATGAACCGATAAACCTAACCGATCATATTATTCCGAAATAAGCCAACTGTTACGATAGTAAACAGTGGTTGTATACTTGGTCCCGTCTAGCATTGGTGGTTACGCACGCGTTTCGAAAGCAGAACTAGTTCATGAGTTGGGCATGTCATCGGAAATGCTGGGTCCGGTAGTAGCGCTTCGCGAGACTGACGGGCCTTCCCTATACGATGGGGATTTATCATGGTTTCATAGTTGCGTTTTTGATCTTACGTTTGCAGTATTTCGGCGACTGTTACAGTCTAGTAACGTTTTCATATAAAAAGTTTGTAATGTTATTGTCAAATCTAATCTTCAAGTGTATACTTTCTTTTGCCCGTCGGTGTGCCCTTTTAGGAGATCAACATGACCTACATATACACATATATATGTGGTGTTGTTCCAGTCCCCTATGACCTGTGGAAAATGTTTCTTGATCATGAAGACCGGCTCCTTGGTCTAGTGGTAGAGCGTCCGCCCGGAGTTCGACCCCCGGCCGCGTCATACCAAAAGACATCAAAAGATGGTACTTGTTGTTATCCTGTCTGACGCCCGACATTAAGGGGCTAAAACAAGGACTGGTCGGCTCGTAAAAAGTTTACTGTATCTGAGTCGGTCATTCATGCTAAACTGCGGCATGGTATCTCAGTGTGCTAGAACTATAAATCGGCATCAGTCCGGACTAGTACAAGCAGCCGCACATACACACACGTGCATGCACGTCGCTATATAAATTGCAATAATCTTGGACGAGATGTGAAACCCCATTTCACCTCACCTCACCTCACCTCACCTCTTGATCATGGATTGTACACTATGAACAGCGTCAAACACATATCTATAACTTATAACAACTGGTATTCAAATGTAGAGAGAAAACTTTCATAGTACTATTTATTAAATTGTATGCCTCATTATGTAATGGGTTATTAGTGTTCCGTTACTAATATGCAGAGTTTCTTCCTACGCCTCTATTAATCTTGGGTTCGTGTCACGTTTTGCCTGACTATTAATAATTTTTCGTCATCACTACGTCATCAGCGTCATGGATCTGCAACTTCCGCCAAACACCGTGGTATTATTGAAATAATGTTCGACGAGGCGTTTTAACCTAACTCATTCACTCATTCCAAATGTAGCGCATTTGTGTATCTGGCACAGAAAATACTGATCTTTCTTGGTGGAGATGGAACGCAAATCAATTGCCCATATGTTTGTGATAACATCATTTATCATATAGTTAATCACATTAATGACATGATAAGTATTTATATACGCAGAAGATGACGATAGAATCCATTAATCTTGGGTTCGTGTCACGTTTTGCCTGACTATTAATAATTTTTCGTCATCACTACGTCATCAGCGTCATGGATCTGCAACTTCCGCCAAACACCGTGGTATTATTGAAATAATGTTCGACGAGGCGTTTTAACTCAACTCATTCACTCATTCCAAATGTAGCGCACGGAAGATACTGAGTTTACTTGGAGGAGATGCAACGCAAATTAATTACTCATATCTTTGAGGTAGCATCATTTGTCATACAATCTACCACATTCATGACATGATAAGTATTTAAACACACAGAAGAGGACGTTACTAAACTTCTATCACCCCATTACATGATGAAAGCGTGGTGTTCCACATTTTGAACGTATCTCTAACACCGTGGCACTCATGTGATAACCTTGGTTGTTCAGGACTGTTCCCATAAGTTAACTGATGCATCACCATAGTGCATGTTAAACATGAGCAGTATGGGAAAGGCTGGTAGCTCCAAAGCAAACGTTATTGATGAAGATTATAATGATGCCAAGAGTGTGCCCTTGCTAAGGGCTATGGTGACTTGCGGGATAGTATCGGTGATTTATATGTCTGGTGTCATATCCTTCTCGCCATTTCTCAGCCAGTTCATCCGGCAGCGTATTGCTGAGTCCTACACTTACAACACAAACGAAAGTTTCAGCACTGGAAACATTTGCGACCGAAATAAAAGCAACCATGATAATCTGATTGGAATCAAGATCCAACAACAGTCGTCGGATATCCTGCTGTACTTATCACTCTCTGGATCCATTGCTTCCATCTTCATCAACCTAGTCATTGGATCCTACTCCGACTTCCTTGGCCGGAAATTCCTATTCTTCATACCCACCCTAGGGGCTGTCCTGAAAGGAACAATGTTGTGTCTTGTAATAGCGTTTCGATTTCCCCTTGGCTGGTTATATTTGGGCTATGTTTTGGAAGGTCTCACTGGGTCGTTCAGCGGATATCTCCTGGCTGTGTTTGCATACACGGCAGATGTGACTGAGCCTGGAAAGAAACGCACTGTCATGATAGCTCTGGTGGAGGGTAGCTTTGCTGTGGCAGGGTCTATTGGTCAATTGGCCGTTGGATTCATCATACATAATGTCAACTACCTGTACGCTGCGATAATGATTACTGCCATCTTTGGTCTGGGACTGATCTTGGTAATAACACTCCTGCCTGAAACTATGACCAATAAGGTGGAGAAACGGTGGTCTCCACTGCCACACATCAAGAAGGTTTTTGGATTCTTCTTCACACGAGGCTCAGGTAAACAGCGAGCCATGTATATACTAGCACTCCTTATATTCTTTTTTGGAACGTTCCAAATGCTTGGACGGTCAAATGTAGAAACTTTGTATCAACTAGACAAACCATTTTGTTGGAGCTCTCTGAAAATCGGCTACTATGGTGCAATCAAACTGTCCTTCAGTGTTGTATGTGGCCTAGTTGGACTCAAGCTTTTACAGCCTTGCTTCCGAGACATGACAATTGCATTAATAGGACTGGCCTTCGGCGCAGCATCCTTCGTGGTGGAGGGACTTGCCGTCAGTGATTGGATGCTGTATTTAGGTATGTTTTGTGAGGAGTGTGACCATCTTCATTACATTAAAACCGCCATACTGAACATAAATTCATGTTAAATCTTAATAGTGATATAACAATAGGTGTTTACGATTAGATTCTCTCCGTAGTTATATATTTATTTTGTGCCCTAAAATTTCGTTTATAAATGTGAACACATAGGTCACAATGACCTGTTCTAGGGATGACTATATTGCGGAAGAACTTTTACTCATTGTACTTTTGAGGTTGAACTGCTTTGCAATTGCGTATATTGACTTGTACCGTATGTTCCTATGTTTGTTCAGGTGAATACTTGACTTGCTTTTGCATGTGTTTGTGACTGGACCCACCAGTGGGGCAGGATAAACTCGCCTTTTCGCGAAGACCTAGTGTCATCACTTATTGCTAGCGATTCATAATCACATGCTTCTGACATTGTCGGAATCGTATTAGATTTCTTATGATTATGGAAATGGTTTTCTTGGCTTTTATGTACATATAAAAGAATGCATAAGCATGTGTATATATTCATATTTAAAACCTAGTCTGAGTTCACTACTTGCAGTCCGTTATTGGTGTCAACCTCCGTGATATTGCTGGCATAAAGCTAAAAGAAGTCCAGAGCCACTCACACAAGCTTCCAAATAGAGTTGGAGTCCTCTTGATCACCAGACACAAATAATCTGAATGTGGGTACGGGGGATAACAAGCCTTTCTACAGGACATTCCCGAGAGCGTGGACAGTTGAATCAACTTCAATTACTGAATTATCTGGACAAACCCGAATATTTGCAATCTGGTGTAATATGCAATGAAGATTTATGACGTGAAAATACATTCAGTTGACTTCACTTCGCGTCCAGGTTGGACCTTGACACATTATGCTGACTTGAGAAAAGAAATTCATACCCGTTTCTACTCTCGGTTTCTCTGGATTCCAGGTTCAAGTGTTTATTGTATCCAAAGCGATATGACCCAAATTTCATGAAAATAAATAATACTCTTGTTTGTTTTCACAAAAATCATCATTATTCACATTTATTAGAATGAGTGACAACCTATGACAAAAGACGTCAAATCCAAAATAACCAATATTTTCGTTGCAGTCCCACTGATCTCCATCTTATCATTTACCGTTGTCCCTGTTGCACGATCAGTTATGTCAAAGATGACGTCCCCGATGGAACAAGGTAAAACAACAAGACAGACATCTTTCCGAACATTCCATTTTATTTGAATTTGCATTAACAACAATCGTCTCATTGTAGCCAAATGTTTAATTAGGGACTCGCATGTGTGGGTAATGAAATCCCCACAGTCCCCATTTTTTTCTAACAAGCAATTAAGACCGATAAATAATCAACGTAATGTATTTCATAAACAAAGATTCGTTCTCAAATTGCGTTTTAATGCGGACGGGTATACTGTCTAGCAAGTGATAGGAGAAGCCGACATACGATCACGTGATTTACCTATCCTGATAGATACAACCTTGTATTTGAACGATATCCAAATGAGATAACATATTAATAAATGTATGCATTACTCCAGGAATGATAATATAACAATATCACCACACAAATAGTGTACTGCCTGCGTGGACAAGATGATGGACTGAGATCTTTGCCATGTTGTTGCAGGCGCTCTGTTCTCCAGCATTGCTGTCATGGAGAGTATCTGTAGCACGCTGTCGGCAACGATGTACAACACCGTCTATCACGCTACTGTTGACTCTTTGAGAGGAGCGGTTTTCATCGTAATGGTCGGAATCGCAATTATCTGTGCTGCTTGTATTATGTAAGAACTATGGCTGATTAACGTTCATGAAATGATTGTTATGAAGAATCATATATAACCCCTTTCATCAATACAGCTGATCAGTAATTATCAATATTGTTTGGTTTACTGGTATTGTCCTGTAAATTCATTGTATATCACCTAAAAGTATTTCATTGAAAGGTTATTCACAAAGCATTAACTATGGTTTTAACGATTTACTGTATCGGTACATTGCTATGTTATGTGACAAACTAATTTTACTAAATGTGGACAAATGTCAAGAAGCAGTTTGATGCATTCAGTTTGCTGAATCTGTTTTTGTTGGGCCTGTTGTTTTTTTCATCCGAGAAAAGGAAATGGTTCCCAAATAAGTATCTATATCGTGATGTCATGATACTCCGTGTGTCCCTACTGTAGGTTTAGCAAGCATTATTCTCAATGTTCAATGTTGCTCCACGTCTATGGTTTATGAAAACATATTTTATAAACGTCACCATACGAAAATTAAAATAATAATATTTAACCTTCATCAGTAATTAGCCAAGGATCGTGGTTACAAATGCAGTTGTGCCTTTGTATACTTTCATGTGGACAGCGTTCTTAACCGGGTAATTTGGCACTTTCTGTCACGTCTTTGTTTATGTTGACAGTGCATTCCTCTTCATCTCGAGAGAAGACACACAAGTATCGGAGTCTGGTGTTGTGCCTCCAACCAAAGTCCAACTGAAGTCACTAAACAAGTAGCGATGACACCATGAAAGTTATCCTGATGTATCTAACCCGTGACCCAAGCAGTTTATTCTAAAGACATCATATAATATTTGTTTCTTACACACCTGTGGGTAAGAAACCCATTTGAGATAACTGGTATCAAACATATGTGTGAGATCGAATTCCAGGCCCGTGATGAGCTACTCCATGGTGATGACCTGAGGTCAAATGATGACGGACTACTTTTCTGATTGTAAATCATTGATAAGTTGCTCGTGCTTCAGTCGAATGTTCACCTACGCCTTGTTGAACCACATGACCGTGTATTAATTGATAATAATAATAATAATAATAATAATAATAAAAAACAAACTCGTCCTCGCCTGCGAGTTTGTTTGTTATTATTATTAGTTACATTATCTGCTGTTATGTCAACGTTATCATTTTTTAAAGTGTAATGCACTCCCCTGGATGCCACAGCGACACATATGTCCCCCCTCTTAAACCCTCACTTCGAAGTCGAACAAAATTCAAAATACGTCACGCAAACTAATACACTTCGCAGTTTTGAATTCACTCTTCTGTTTATCATTAGGTACATTGTAAATCTAGCCAAATCACAATAAACGGCGTTATTTACTGTGTGTTTTGAAATCTAAATATTGGATATTTACTCGAATAATTAAAGTAGAAAAGTAGCATATTAGTGATCACGGGTATCAAATTACTAATGATAATTCTGCAACGTCGCTGATAAGCCTACAATCGTTTAGAATGTTTTGGAAAATACGCATTCACGAACGCATAGTGTACGTTCCGCCATATTGGATTGTGTTTACAAAATGCCGGTTATGAGACGCCTATTCGATCAGGTATATTTCAAACTCAGATGCTATACATGCATCCCTGAATTCCTCATATATGTTAGAAACAAATGACAAATTTGTCACCAATGCAAATTAGCTAGATGAAATCATGCGAAATAAATAAGTTGTGGAAACGAACACTGTGCTCGGATAACTGTACTTGCTGAAATATAAGCAAAGCAAAAGATTTTACACTGTGTTGCATGTTTAGAGGTACTTTTGTCTAATTGTCGCATGCATTGGCTCCATAACGCGTTTGAGAATATACATGGGAAGAGTGTCGTTGCACTAATAATGGAATTCCAAATATAAACATTACAATGATGTGGTAAATTCAATAGAAACCGTACAAGTGTGACGCCATGGCTGACGCTAAATCACACACAACGACGACGGTAGTTATCAGCATTTCTGACTAATTCTCTTTGTTACATTGGAAAAAATGATAAACAAATAACAGTAAGCAGATTGTCAGAATGTTTCTGATTACTTACGTGACACATTTATGTATATACGATCCCTCAATCAACGAAAATCCTTCTCTGGAAATCCCGCGTACTGTTGTCAATGTACACGCCATTTTGCAAAAGTCGGTCACCGGTAATGATGTCATACAGAAGTTAACATTGTTGTACTTATTTGGTAATTTCTTTGAGGTGTAAACTTTTAACTCTGCATCCAGCGTGTTCTTTGTTTTTGTCTTGTTTGCATTATCATCATCGCCTTGATAATTAATCCACAGACATGTCGGAAACCTTTTTGTGTAGGGTCTCATTATTTATGAGTAGTAAGCAGTACATGGAACGACGTAACTTGTGACAATGGTTTTATGTATTAATGCGCCACTGCGATCATGAGAATATACAAAATGCATCGATCCGATGCTAAAAAGGTGCGATTTTAGGGTGTGTAAGAAACAGATTACTGTACTCGTGTATGTCAGATACCATTGATCTTACAACTCGTTGTTACACAGCGTATCTAACTCGCTTTCGCTCGTTAGATACGTTTTGACACAACTCGTTGTAAGATCAATGGTATCTGACTGACACTCGTGTAGTAACCTCAGACTGTCTGTAACTATGATACGTGGAGAACAAGATCAAACATTTGAGTACTAAATGAATGGATATGAATTAATAAATACATATTGATTAAGTCTGCATTCTTCATCTATTTGCAGCAGAATTAATTTTAAGTAGTTACACGTAACTTCAAGTAGTAAGTTACGTTGACCACAGGAACGTGCCTTGATCCTGCCCAATTAGAGATTTCAAATCAGAATACATGTAACGTGTGATCTACTTTAATAATTTAGTTACACATACATATATATTTGCATTGCTTTTATGATTTTCTTCCTTAAAAGAGCTTCAGGTGGCCCAGTAATCTAAGGAGCAATTCCCTGTGCTGATTAGTGCCCCCTGTTATACTGGGCTCGAAATATGATTTTGCCCTGATTTTGATTCTTTGTAATTCAGCACCATTCCGTGCCCGTGAGTTTCACCATAGAGATCAGCGTTTACTACCTGTATCACTTCATATTAAACATCAAACTGAGATAAACACACCCCTGCGTCCGTGCTTGCAGTCTGCCGGAACAACACAGCACACGCCGTACTGTTGAAAACGCAAGCCGTCAACTTGATGTGACGTCACATAAAAGCAAATACACGAAGACAGGCGTTGGATGGTTATTCAACACCACTACTACCACCTGTTTTCTTTAAAAAAAATATTATATATATATGTGCACACGTTGTACATATATCCTGCTTGATAATAATGACGTTAAATATACCTCGAATCACTCTTTAATAAAACGGTTTCATATTATCAATGGTGTCATGGGCCCATAGTACATGTCTGGTAATGGGTGTATAAGATCATAAAGTAACATATTTGGAACGTCTTAGGTTCTTCCACACTATCAAACATCCATACTAGCTTGTCATTAAATGTCATCAAATTGTGTGGAAAATGTTTGAAAGCAACAACATGTAAATATGACCCTGATGTGAATATGCACGTATGCAATATGATGTATCAATCGAGTGTGTCCCATATCTATCAATGGTAGGCATCATATGATAACGTGGATTCGTAATAACCTATATACACAAGGCCTGGATGGAGGACGACAACATTCACCACGGACGTGAGACAGAACCAACCCATCATCAAAGATGGCCGCGTCCAGAAGACGACCAGTTCGGCCGTCTGTTACGATCTCCAGATGTAGATCCAGAGAGACGCGACCAACCTCAACATGCACCTAAGACCTGTATTACAGTCATTACAGCCATGAAAGAGGTGTTCTGTTTGTATTTTAGGAAAACGTCCACTGGTAACCGTGTCCTATTCTGGATCTGCATAAGTGTATTCTTGTTTAAGAAGATAGACATGCATGGTACAGTAAATACAGTATATGTTGAGTCCTCCATTGCTGAGATTCTGTCAGACTGGGCATCTGTGGTGCCCTGAAACTACGATGTCTACTACAGCTGTCTCGTCTTCCACTTCGTGATAAACGTGATGGACCTGCTACAATTCTGACTTCTTTCCAACACCATCGTACAGCTACAATAATTTTCGAAGCGGCGTTAAACCCATTTACTCACACTTTCCAAATGTAGCACATTTGTGTATCCGGCACCGAAGATACCTATCTCACTTGGAGTAGATGTAACCCAATAAATTACTCGTATCTTTGAGATAGCATCATTTGTCATGCAGTGTACCACATTCATATCATGGTAAGTATCTAAACACACAAATGACATTACTAAACTACTATCATCCCATCTCATGATCTTCAACATGGTGTTCCATTTTTGAACGTATCTCTAACACCGTTGCACTCACATGATAACCGGTGTTGTTGTAGACTAAGCTAACATAAGCTAACTGATGCATCACCATAGTGCATGTTAAACATGAGCAGTATGGGAGCTGGTAGCACCAAAGCTAACGATATTTATGAAGATGATAATGATGCCAAGAGTGTGCCCTTGCTAAGGGCTATGGTGACTTGCGGGATAGTATCGGTGGTTTATATGGCTGGTGTCATATCCTTCTCGCCACTTCTCGCCCAGTTCGTAAGGAAGCGGATTTCTGAGTCCTACACTAACAACACAAACGAAAGTTTCAGCACTGGAAACATTTGCAGCAGAAATAAAAGCAACCATGATAATCTGATTGGAATCAAGATCCAACAACAGTCGTCGGATATCCTGCTGTACTTATCACTCTCTGGATCCATTGTTTCCATCTTCATCAACCTAGTCATTGGATCCTACTCCGACTTTCTTGGCCGGAAATTCCTATTCTTCATACCCACCCTAGGGGCTGTCCTGAAAGGAACAATGTTGTGTCTTGTAATAGCGTTTCGATTTCCCCTTGGCTGGTTATATTTGGGCTATGTTTTGGAAGGTCTCACTGGGTCGGTCAGCGGATATCTCCTGGCTGTGTTTGCATACACGGCAGATGTGACTGAGCCTGGAAAGAAACGCACTGTCATGATAGCTCTGGTGGAGGGTTGCTTTGCTGTGGCAGGGTCTATTGGTCAATTGGCCGTTGGATTCATCATACATAGTGTCAACTACCTGTACGCTGCTATAATGATTACTGCCATCTCTGGTCTGGGACTGATCTTGGTAATAACACTCCTGCCTGAAACAATGACCAATAAGATGGAGAAACGGTGGTCTCCGCTGCCACACATCAAGAAGGTTTTTGGATTCTTCTTCACACGAGGCTCAGGTAAACAGCGAGCCATGTATATACTAGCACTCCTTATATTCTTTTTTGGAACGTTCCAAATGCTTGGACGGCCAAATGTAGAAACTTTGTATCAACTAGACAAACCATTTTGTTGGAACTCTCTGAAAATCGGCTACTATGGTGCTATCAGACTGTCCTTCAGTGTTGTATGTAGCCTAGTTGGACTCAAGCTTTTACAATCTTGCTTCCGAGACATGACAATTGCGTTGATAGGAATGGCTTTCGGTGCAGCATCCTTCGTGGTGGAGGGACTGGCCGTCAACGATTGGATGCTGTATTTAGGTAGGTTTTGTGAGGTTTCAGACATCTTCCTTAGATTAATACCACCATACTGAACATGAAATCATTATAATTTCATAATTTCAAGTTAACACTGTTTCTTTACTGCTGATTGGCTGAATGGATAGTCACGAGATCTGACATTTGGAGTTCACAAACCTGTGAACGGACAGAAAAGTTCATACGATGTGAACAGTTTTTGTGTGAAATTGATCGTGTGAACTTTTATTGGAACTACTTTCCGGGGTTTCCCCGAATTCTCGATCGGTGTTTACAATAAACTCGTTTTTCTATTTTCATTTTAAGCCCAGCGTTTATCAGCAATATAATTAATTTAGTATTTTGCCTGCACTTGTAATATTGCATCTGACTTGAAATAAATAATAGCTTTGGTTCTGGTGTTTAATGTAGCTGCTAGATGAAACAAAATGGATTGTCCTTACGGTGATTTGGATATGGAATGGCTATCTATCAATACTAATAACGCAAGTTAAGAAAATGAAATCTGTAAAATTACTGAGGTGAACGAAATCGATTTATTGAGCGATATTTCCTTTGATGCCTTGTTTTCGGAAATGACAGGAATCTAGCACCAAGACAATTGCGAATGAAAACAATGTCGTACCCTGCTCAGATACGGCCGCCGACACAGATCAAAGCGTCTGCTCCTGATCAATCCCAAACTAAGACCCGATTCACTACCGTATCGGGAAACAAATCCAAGATTTTGAGAAACCCTAAAACACAAACAGGTAAAGAAAGAAACTTAAATATAAAAAATAAAAAAAAATAAACCGTGCCTACCTGTTTTACCGACTGGTCACTGGAGACGAGAAAATATCTGAAGACGGAATTACTATTCCGGTTTCTGAGTTGGCCGACCTTCTCCGTGCATTCTTGGCCGAGAAGCGGCGGCACTCGAGAAATGACGGGGCACAGAAATGAATCTGGCATCAGGTCATACAGTAGGTCCATCTCAGGTGACAAGAAACACCAGCTGAGCAACGTATTACAGCACACACGACAAATCCCAAACTCCAAATATAACACGCCCTGACGTTGAAGATTAACACAAAACATACAAGTTTCAGAGCACTTCATTCAATCCCCATCAGTCCATTCCACATCGTCCGAATTGGTTTGCGATTATCCAAACACAAGCAACACATTCATAAATCAGTGATATTCCCAATTTGCTAGTTCCATGGGAGGGTTCATGCGTCGGGGTGTTTTCCATAACTGTTCCATAAACTTCTTTCTCAACAGCAGTAAGTATCCATTTCGACTCGAAATGCACCCTTTTACAAACTTATGTGACGTCATATATAAATCCACACTTGATGGTTGACCTCGCCTCGGTGCATTGAGGTCATGTTTAGATTTTTGTTCGGTTTCCTGTTACGGTAACCTTATTTTAACTTGATTAATCCCAAATATTGTTTGTCAGTTTGTTCAGAGAATAAAATTATGTTGATGTTGACATATTTTCACATTGTTGCAATGTTCTTCGGCGAAACCAGTGGACGTCAAATTTCAGCAAACTTTGTTACAATATTATTCAGCGAGACAAGTAAACTACACAGTATGAAATTATAAGGATTGAAAGTCAGTGTGGATGGGTTTATTGAAGTGTGAACCCCGCAAGCTCGGATGTTCACACAGTTTAACCAGCGCTTTTAAATGGTTCACACTTCAATGAATCCATCCAAACTGACGTCAATTATTAATTAAACCGGGCGGTCGGGTAGCCGAGTGGTTAAAGCGTTCGTTCGTCACGCCGAAGACCCGGGTTCGATTCCCGACATGGGTACAATGTGTGAAGCCCATTTCCGGTGTCCCCCGCCGTGATATTGCTGGAATATTGCTAAAAGCGGCGTAAAACTATACTCACTAACTAATTAACTAAACCCTAATAGTGGTATAACTATAGGTGTTAGATTATCTACGTAGTTATATATTTATTTTGTGCCCTAAAATTTCGTTTATAAATGTAAACACATAGGTCACAATGACCTGTTTTAGGGATGACAATATTGCGGAAGATCTTTTACTCATTTTACTTTTGAGGTTGAACTAAGAATGAACTACTTTGGAATGCCTTATATTGACTTACACCGTATGTCCCTATGATTGTTCAGATGAATACTTGACTTGCGTTTGCATGTGTTTGTGACTAGACCCATAATTGGGACAGGACAAACTTGCTTTCTTGCGAACACCTGGTATCATCACTAATGAATAGCGATTCATAAACATATGCTTCTGACATTGCCGTCATCGTACAACATCGACTCTGCTGTAAGCATAGATTTCTTATGATTATGGAAATGGTTTTCGTTGCTTTTATGTATATGTGTATAAGAATTCATAATAATATTTATATTCATATCTAAAACTCAGATTGAATCCCCCATATGTGTACACCGCTTGCAGTCCATTCTTGGTGTCATCCTCCGTGACATGGCTGACAAACTCAGACTCACTCACACAAGCTTCCAAATAGTGTTGACATTTAAATCTTCCCGTGGGGTTCTCTAGCTCACCAGAAACAAGTGGACTGACTTTGCTTACGGGTGCAGGACATCCCTGAGAGCGTGGACAGTTAAATCCAGTATCAGTTGCGGCATTGTCTCGATGGAACTCGAAGATTTACAATCTGGTGTAATATGCAATGAAGATTTATGACGTGAAAATACATTCAGTTGACTTCACTTCGCGGCCACGTTGGTCCTTGCACACATTATACTTACTTCAGAAAAGAAATCGATACCCGTTTCTACTCTAGTTTTCAAGATTCAAGGTTCAAGATGTTTATTGTATTCAAGGCGATATCAATCACAAGACATGAAAATAAATAAATAAATACTCACTCATTATTCACATATATTGGAAATATTGACAACTAATGACAAAAGACATAAATCTTTGCCTGATATGTCGTATCCAATACAACCAATATTCAAAGTAGGCACAATTTATGGAAACAACTTCTATATTTTTATTACTAACATTCACTTTGCAGTTCCACTGATCTCCCTCTTATCATTGACCGTTGTCCCTGTTGCTCGATCAGTCATGTCGAAGATGACGTCCCCGCTGGAACAAGGTAAACAACTAGAGAGACCTATTTCCGAACATTGCCATTTTCGTTGAATTCAAATATTAACAACGACTGTGTTAAGTTGGCCAAATGTGTAATTGGTGACACGCATGTGTGGTTAATAAAATCCCCACAGGCGCTATCTATACTAACAAGCTATCACCGTAATTTATTTCATAAACAGGGCTAGTTTGGTGCTCAAAGGGTGATGTTCCCGAAATAACACTATTGCGTTTTAATACGGCCGAGTGTACCATCTAGCAAAGTCCTTGTAATTAGCTAACTTTATGGACACAACCTTGTATTTGAACGATATGAAAATGAGATAACTCACACACACACCACACACACACACACACACACGCGCGCACGCACGCACGCACGCACGCACGCACGCACGCACACACACACACACACACATATATATATATTTATATGCTTGATGTAATGTACACACTACATACATGGGGAAAAATATCATATTTATACTGGTGTATGTAGTGTTAACATTACACCAAGGATGATAATATAACCACATAACCTATTAAATAGTTTACTGCCTGCATGGACAAGATGGCGCACTTAGTTATTTGCCATGTTGTTGCAGGTGCTCTGTTCTCAAGTATTGCCGCCATGGAGAGTATCTGTAGCACGCTGTCGGCAACGATGTACCACACCGTCTATCACGCTACTGTTGACTCTTTGAGAGGAGCGGTTTTCATCGTAATGGCCGGAATCGCAATTATCTGTACTGCTTTTACTATGTAAGAACTATGGCTGATTAACGTTCATGAAATGATTGTTATGAAGAATCATATATAACCCCTTTCATCAATACAGCTGATCAGTAATTATCAATATTGTTTTTGTTGATAATCTATTGTCCTGTAAATTCACTGTATTGTACCTAAAAGGCTTGTATTAAAAGGTTATTCACACAGTATAAACTATTGCTTAAACGATTTATTGTATCGGTATATTGTGATATTAAGCTAACTTTAACTAAATCGATGTGGACACATGTCAAGAAGCAGTTAGTTGCAATCAGTTTGCTTAATCTGTTTTTGTTGGGCCGGTTGTTTTTTAGTATCTGTATCTTGTAGTGAACTTGATATCACGATACTCCGTGTGTCCCTACTGTAAGTGTCGCAAGCATTATTCACAAATCTCCACGTCTCTGGTTTTTTGAAAACATATTTTAGAAACGTTATCATACGAAAATTAAAATTAAAATATTTAACCGTCATCAGTAATTAGCCAAGGATGGTGGTTACAAAGGCACTAGTGCCTTTGTATGCTTTTATGTGAACATCGTCCTTAGCGAAATCTAACCGGGTAATTTGGCACTTTCTGTCACGTGTTTGTTTATGTTTGCAGTGTTTGCAGTGCTACATTTTATCACGCGAGTGTGTCCCACATCGGGCCTAGTCATAAGTAGATGCGAACTGGAACTGACAGATACTATTTACTAGTTTATCTATTACTGATAGACATCATATGATAGCCTGTGTTGCATTCTTTATAATCTAAGCACACAAGGCTGGGATGGAGGACGACAACATTCACTGCGGACGTGAGACAGAACCTCTCATAAAAGATGGCGGCGACCACAACATTGTCCCTGGCAGCCAGCAGAAAATGCAAATCAGACGTCTGTTCCTCGTTAGTCTCATACTGTTCCTCCATGGCGGTTCCGGTGCCATCCACAGTCCGCTCATGTCCCAGTACTTATACCTGCGATATAGCGAGGAGTATTTTCCTAACTCGACGTTTCCGGAAAGGAAGACCTCCCACAGTGAATGTGTTGCCAACAGCACTGCCATGGAGTCCAACCTCCAGAAGGAGGTCCAGAGAGAAGCTACCAACCTCAATATGCAGCTGACTCTTGCCACAAGCATCCCTGCAATCTTTACCAACCTGTTTCTGGGAGCCTATTCGGACTATTTCGGCCGACGCTTCTTGTTCATGACAATGATGGTGGGCAGGCTGACTAGGGATCTCACGACAGTTGCCATCATCGTCTGGAATCTTGACCTTCACTATTTCTTCATCGGGTACGGCGCTGACGGACTGTGTGGGTCATCCTTTACCTTCTACCTAGCGGGGTATGCGTACACAGCAGACATCACCCCGCCAGCTAAAGTGAGAACGGTGGCACTGGCTGTAGTGGATGCTGCCAGGGGTATAGCTGATATATCCCTGCATATAGCCACGGGTTACTTGATAAAGATGTACGGCTACCTGTATCCTTCTGTGGGAATGGCTGCCATGACACTTCTGGACTTCCTTGTGGTGGTGACCCTGCTTCCGGAAACGGTCAAAAGAAGCGGGACCTGTATTTCACCCATCACGGCCATTAAAAATGTGTTCGGTTTTTATTTTAGGAAAACGTCCACTGGTAACCGTGACCTATTCTGGATCTGTATTATTGTGTTCTTGTTTAATATGATAGACAAGCATGGTACAGTAAATATCGAGAACTTGTATATGTTGAGTCCTCCATTTTGCTGGGATTCTGTCAGATTGGGACTCTACGGTGCCCTGAAGGACGGTGTCTACTACTTCAGCAGTGTCGTCATCATCAAGGCCCTCCACGTCTGCACCACAGATGGTGTAGTTGGTATCATCGGCTTCATGTCTGCGGCTGCTTCTAAACTTATAGAAGGCCTTGCTTTTGTGGACTGGATGTTGTATTTAGGTGAGTCATTGTGCTAGGTGGTACAGGAACGGTGGGCTAGCCTAGTGGTTGAAGCATTCATTCATAACACCGAAGGCCGGGTTCGATTCTCCAAATGTGAAGCCCTTATCTGTTGTACCCTGTCGTGGTATTGTTGGAATAGTGCCAAAAAATCAATACTCACTCACTCATTAAGTCATTCACTTAAATTCATTGTTGTTTTTTGCATTATAAAAGGACCTCGTCATGATTTTAGAGCTGTGGCTTGCAAATCTGTGCCTGGGCTTAAGAGATAAATCTAAACATATTGTAAATTCAGGTCACGAGATGAGATAAACATGTTATTTGACAAAAAACACCCTCTATATATTTTTATTGTCTTACCACCATCCCCCGACAACCAACCCCATCCCACTAGTAGTGCCTAACATGGGGAACATGGTAAATGAGTTAAAGAAAAGAAAAACCCATCTGTAATGCAAAAAGCATGCAACCCACTAATAGCCAGATAACATGTATCCGTTATTTTGCCCTTTCTGTCGGATCAGTTCCGGTTGTGGGGGTAGCATCATCAGCCATCTCCCCAGCCCTCAGGGCTATCCTGTCTCGGATGGTTCCAGCCGAGGAGCAGGGTATGTATGTTCGTTAAGATCTGATAAAATTCAATTAAAAAATGTTTGCCAAATTTTCAAACGAAGAACTGAATTCCATGTATATCTAGCAAGCTTAGAAACTGGTTCAGTGTTGGTCATTAGAAATATGGCATTTCGAGTTAATAGAAAATATGTGTGATACCTTGTTATAGGTGCAATATTCACCAGTATGTCTGTGGTGGAGGCTGTCTGTGATGCAGTAGGGTCCACCGCACTCAATGTCGTGTATGAAGCAACGTTGAGCGTCATGCGTGGTGCAGCGTTTCTCATCATGGCGGCCTCCAAGATCGTGGCGATTGTTTTGTTGACGTAAGTAAGGCGTGTGTTTTGGCCTTCCGTTTATATATTTACATTTCATCTCAAGCGCCGGGCAAAAGAAAGTATACACTCTTGTTTGATGGTGGCTGAAAATGAAACTAACAAGAAATGGTTAGTCGATAATTGATACGGGTATCATAGTTGCGTTGTGTACCTTAAGTTTGCAGAATTTCGTTTTCATATTAGCGTTTGGAGCTTTTTGCTCAACTCCCATGTTCAAGTGTTTATTTACGTTTGCCCGGTAGTTAACAATTTAAAAGAAGCCGGTGCTCGACAGACTGGAGACTATTTAAAAATCTAGGTCTGGAAATATAGATATGAGTGGCGTCCATATCCTTTCAATGTCGGTACAAAAGTCTGCCATACAGACAATGAAACAAATATATCCAATACAAGCCATGCAAGTCTATGATGCTTGGCAAGTCTAGATTACTGCAGTTCCGGAGAAAATGAAGAAAGTCTCTTTGCTCCTTTTAATTATATTTTGTCGACAATTTAACAAATGTTTTTTTTCTGTAAAAATATGGTCATTTCAATTACTATCTAGTCTGTCGGTACATGTGCTGATTTATCAAGCAAGTGATTAGCAACTTGGTGTTGTAAAATCACCCGTGTGAAGCTGAGACATTGTCCGTGTGTAATTAGAAAACTCATTGACTGCTTGATTGATATTCATCATCGAAGTTTGCTCGGCACACAAAAATAGTGGTGTCAACAGTGTTTGACACTGACCAAAATTTGTCAGTGGTCTAAAGGACCAGAATATCGAAAACTCTCTACAGACACAATGGTGCTGAGCAAAACAGGCTTTAAATCGCAGATACCTTACCATTTTCATGCAACAAGTGAGCGGGCGTAGTTAGAATGAGAAACCAGTCAAGAAGGAAACCACTGTACCACACAGAGTTGTTTAGATTGCTGGTTTTACTTGAGTTTAGAGTCGATCTATCGCCGATTTCAAAAGTCATACAAACTTAATATAATTAAGATTACTTACATAGTCTCTTAAAAAACACTTGACCACCGAACCAGCATTTATATAATTGTCCTGGTCGTTTGGGAAATATACTAGACTCGGACCAGCGGGCCAGTGTCGAACACTGTGTCAAACGACATAAATCAAATGAGGGGTAACATATTCGCGCCTGGTCCCCTTTTATACATTATAAAACTGTTTGGTAAAGAAAGTGGATTCAATTCAATCCAAAAATAGTACAAGTCCAGGTGATTAAATCAAATTAGATTTGCATTTGCATAGCGAACTTTCCAATTAACAACCGCTCAAATGCGCTCAGACCATGACTGATCTATAGTCTTGAAGAGAATGTTTATTCCTTTTGATATGGTTTTATTCACATTCATTTTCAGTGTGTTTGTGTTCAAGACTCGGTCGAGAGTGGTGCCCCCCAAGGACAACCTGTGTGTACAAGGGCGGGATGACCAGGGTATCTCTGACGAGGAGCAGCAGTAGCTCTCTCCTACAACATCCAGCCTGAGTAAGGATAATATAAAGGATGAACAACTTCTTTATTACAATTAACAGCGACGTTTCAGCGTAGGTGCTAAACACAGTCATCAAGCAAGTCCTTGTACATATCGCGGGGTCTGTTTTTGTCCCTGACCAGTTTTTGAAGACGGAGTGTCGTTCAACGTATTTATTTGCTTGTAACCTGTAACATGAAAAGTCAACATCAGAAAGGTGTTGATTACTGTCGACCATCTTGCCAGGCTGAAAGGTGACAACTGAATATTCACATTATACATTATAAATATATATAAGCACTGATAGACTAGTATGCATGCTAGAGAGTAATAATGAGATATGAAATATATATAACCACTATAGGCTATGCATACTGGCGCTTTATGATGAGATGATAAGATACTGGCGTCAGTCACACTTATAGCGAAAAGTCAGTGATCCATAAAATAGTGATTTGGGTATAATATTGTAGTATGATATTAAACATTTATACATATAGTATTCTTCCTTTACTCACTGACTTACATGTTATGCCAGAGCAGTGCTTAGGTTAGTAATAGCGATTAGCGCGGTGTGTACATTTCACACGAACTATTTTTTTAGTGAGTTGGTGAGTATGGTTTTACGCCGCTTTTAGCAATATTCCAGCAATATCGCGGCGGGGGACACCAGAAATGGGCTTCAAACATTGTACCCACGTCGGGAATCGAACCCGGGTCTTCGGTGTGACGAGCGAACGCTATAACCACTGGGCTACCCGACCGCCCAAACTATTTTTTACTAACTTGAGATGACATTACTTGATTGGTAATTAACATATAATATATTAGATATAATTGATACACTAGCAAGGAGATGTAGATGTACAGTGAATCTATAAGTGGAGTTACCTGTAACATGAAACGTCAACATCGGAAAGGTGTTGATTACTGTCGGCCAGCATACACGGCAGACAGGTGACAATTGAATGTACATTCAGATTAAGCCAAGTACGGGTAGCACGTACAACTACTTATATTTACACAGCGGAGAGGCAGCTTTAAGATGGATAAAACTTGAAATAAGGTTGCCATCGACATATCCAGTGCGGGTGATATATGGTAAACATCCTAACAGGTGAAGCCAGTAGTATAAACAAAAGGATTATAATGACTGATTGTTGTCTTTGATCAGTGGAAAGTACGCAGGAGGCATGTAATAGCTAAGATCACGGATGATTAATGGTTGTAGTCTTTTGATGTGGATAGCGTCTTGGATTTTTCTGATTTTGAAGTCTTTAAGGTTGGTTGTAAGACAAGATGTGTTTAAATCATGTAGCTTCTCACCGTGCATCTTCCCGAGATAAAGCCGATAACTGACTTTATCATATAATGGGTAGGTTACTCGGCAGGATAAAGCCAACGGATAAAAACGATATCCGTTGGGGTCATATGCGGATAGAGATGCAAATATCAAAGGTCAGGTAGGACTACTTTCACTGTTTATAAACAAGCATGGCGTCGCCCTCGTCATTCGGCGATCGAGTCAATTAACCATCGTGAATCTGGATAAACTACAGGGATACTTGCTATCATTATCAAACGAACAGTCTAATATACTGAAAATCAGTGTCTAACTGTGACGTAGCAAAGGCATTTTATAAGTTTTGGCAACTTTCGAGATATAAGTTTCGAAACAATTTTGCGAGGGCACGAAGCCTAGCCAAGCGAGATCAGTAGCCATATCTGTGCTTGTAGACCTCTGTGGCTTGAAACCTTCTCCACAAATCAAAATGGTTGGATTCGGCCGAATATGTTTGAACTGTTACCTTGTTTCGTTTTGTCGCTGTGTGTACATCTGACTACACTTCTTAACGTTATGAAAGGACAGACCGACTGTCAACAACGTCTGACCGTGGCCGTGACGTCTCATAGACCAGAGATAGAGTAGCTTCCCTTTGACAAAGGGCAGTTACTCTAGCGGACAGACCGATGGATTGCCGCGAAAGGCAATTAAAAACAACTGTTGTTTTGCCTATAAGTTGCTTCGCCACTGTATAAGAAACAGATTTCAGTTGGAACTATATTGGCTACTGTCACTGTCCGACTGACTAATCACTTACCCTGTGACGTAATAAATATTAATGCGCACATTCCAGGAAAACTCGCAATGTTTCGGTAATGTTTGTGAGAGAGGGAAAGCGATTTTAAAGCACAGAATTAAAGAATGACATTATATGATAAAGAGGTTATCACGCTTGTGTGTTTGGGGATGGTAAATATCCTGTATTAGGAATAAATACTATGTATTTAGCTCGCCAAGGCTCGCTAAATACAATGTTTATTCCTAATGCAGGATATTTACCATCCCCAAACACACTTGCGTGATAACCTCTATATAAAAGTCCAGTTTCCATCCTTGCGGAACTAGGCTGGTATTTTGGAGTTACATTTTGGCTGGACTAACGAGTCTATGCACAGTCAAATCAAAATCGCTTAACGAACTAGACATCCGGTTCGAAAGCAACATGGATTGAAACGTGCAGATTTTGGTCGGCAGCAGGATTTGCAAAGCATGTGTACCGCCAACTAGGCGTCATCGGATATTTTGCAAATGTGCTCATGTTTTTAATCAAGGTGCTCAAATGAGTTGATGTACTTTGTGGGGTAAAACCCGTTTTATTACAATATAGATCTATATTATCGATCAGATCGTCTTGATTGGGCGCCGCCATTTTGTTAGAAGCAAATGCAAGTGATATGAGAGATGGAATCTGATTGGTCAATAGGAGGGGCATAGACTTTTAGAGTCAGTTGACGTCATTGCCCCGAGATGATACTCACCGTGTCAGGAAGAATTGTTATGCCTATTGATATTGAACAATGGTAATATTAACCATGTTTAAAGTTTGAGTGAGTTTGGTTTAACGCCGCTTTTAAGAGTATTTGAGTTATATCACGGCGTGCCAGCTTAATGTGGAAGGAAAGCCCGAAGTGATGCAGGTCTCTGACGTTCACCACTTCTATGAAACCCACGAACACGAGTAGGGTGCTGACAAACCTAGGAACATACCCATGTTTAAAGAACTGCTACATATTTATTACATCTGTTTAAACATGCAACATTTATGTCGACGCAGGCCGTGACATAATACCATGCAAACATGTTTCAATTTTAATGGCTTAAAATCATCATTGCAATCAGGATTGAATGTAGGATATTCTACTGTGTACCTGTCAACTCACTCATATGAATTTATTGAAAACTCATTGGATAATGGTAAGGACATTAGGTCAGTATTTCGCGATATCAATAAAGTCTCTGATAGAGTCTGGCATAAAGGTATCTTACGTAAATTATATTAAAATGGAACACGAGGCCCACTCTTGGATTGGTTTGAAAGTTATCTAACCAACAGATAACAAATACTGTAGTTAATGGAAATAAATCCAGTATTAAGTCTGCACTTGAATGCGTTCCCCAAGGTTCAGTGTTGGGGCCACTTTTATTTTTATGTTTTATTAATCATATAATTGAAGACATAGACTGTAATATCAATTTTTTTGCTGATGATACTTCTTTATACGTTGTTATTGATGACCCAGTGTCATCAAGTATATGCTTGGATAGGAATATAGAAATTATATCACAATGAGCTAATGTTTGGAAAGTGAAGTTTAATCCTAACAAAACAGAATCAGTCAATAACATCTATGTCCGACATTTTTAATGGAAGGCACTAAGATTCCAATTGTAGATTCTCATAAACACATTTGACTTACTTTGCAAAGTTATGGTCAGTGGCAACTGCATGTTTATGAAGTTATGACCAAAACAAGCCCAATGGTTAATTACTTAAGAAGTTTCAAATATCCTTTGAATATAAAAAGCCCACAAAATTGTAAAATTCTTATTACTAAAATGATAGTACTAAGGACCAAGAACTGCTATTAGAAAAACTATAATTTGATGCCTCAAGAACAATATGTAGATCTGTTAGAGGGGTGAGTCACATATATTTCACCAAGTGAAACCACAAAATGGGTGTATTTCACAAAATATTCTGTGATAAAACGTATACTTATCAAGTTTAATTCCTTTAATCATTTCTGTCACTTCCACGTATGTAACAAGATCATCCAACATACTTCAAATACGTTTATGTCACACGGACAAATGAACGATAATTTTTTCCATCATCAGTGCATGGTTAGAATATGTTGGATAACATTTTAAGAAGTACTGAATCTTTAACACAAATTAAAAAGAATTAGGAAAAATATATTATTAGCAATGTATATCCTTTATTTCAATGTTATGGTTCTAGAAACAAACAAATCATTCACTGTAGAATGAGACTCAATTGCAGTGACCTAAATGGACATAAGTTTGATTGTTAGGTTGTTATTGATTCTGAGTGGAGTTGTGGTCATTATTACAAAGATAATCATCATAATCTATTTCAATGTAAACAGTACACGGATATATGATATATGATATACGCGATATAACTTGAATACTGTTAAAAGCGGCGTTAAACCCAACTCACTCACTCACTCACTCGGTTTGGAAACAAATCTGTCATCTGAAGAAACTGTTGAACAAATAGGATCTGTTCATGCATATTTTACCCGAACAAAACGCTTTGAAAATCTTTAAAGTATGTTAGATATGTTTTTGTACATTTATATATATTTGATGTTGAACCTTTTATCATCCACTGTGTGTTGTGATATATTACATAAATGTTCTGGTATCGGAAAGGCATTACGCCTGCTGACCAATCCATTTGAAGAAAATAAAATATTGTTTAAACTATTCCTTGATTTGAAAGCCATACTGACACCGTCAGAGTAATCAAACGAATGGCGGTTATGTAGAATATGTTGGCAATAAGCGGAAGTCCTATGACTCGGAGAGTACAGGCACAGGGTCAACAGATTTCCGGGTTAACGGCTCATTGGTTGACGTCCAGCAGTGGTATTCGGTCTAACGGTGTTTCCCGACTAACGAGGTAACTGGCCTACCATGGTTACCAGAGTAACGAAATATCCGTACTGACGGGGTTTCCGGTTTGTTGAGACATCCTGTTTCCTGACTAACAGGGTATCCGATCGGAGTATTCTTTCCGACGTGGTATCCGGTCTACGGAGTATTCTTTCCGACGTGGTATCCGGTCTACGGAGTATTCTTTCCGACGTGGTATCCGGTCTATGGAGTATTCTTTACGACGTGGTATTCGGTCTATGGAGTATTCTTTACGACGTGGTATCCGGTCTACGGAGTATTCTTTACGACGGGTATCCGGTCTCCGAAGTATTCTTTACGACGTGGTATCCGGTCTACGGAGTATTCTTTCCGACGTGGTATCCGGTCTCCGAAGTATTCTTTACGACGTGGTATCCGGTCTACGGAGTATTCTTTCCGACGTGGTATCCGGTCTCCGAAGTATTCTTTACGACGTGGTATCCGGTCTACGGAGTATTCTTTACAACGTGGTATCCGGTCTACGGAGTATTCTTCACAACGTGGTATCCGGTCTACGAAGTATTCTTTACAACGTGGTATCCGGTCTACGAAGTATTCTTTACGACGTGGTATCCGGTCTACGAAGTATTCTTTACGACGTGGTATCCAGTCTACGGAGTATTCTTTACAACGTGGTATCCGGTCTAACGGAGTATTCATTCTGAAGGGGTATCTGGACTTTTGGTGTTTCTAGACTAACGGGAGATTTGGACTAGTTTGTAAATAGTTTTCTTATGCACCTGAAGGCCGACCCACACTGTAGCATGGATGCGTAGCGTGTCGGCACAAAAGAAACGCTTCAGTGTTTTCTTTTCAAACGTAACCCAGATTCACGCAGCGCCCTAACATCAAATATTCCTGATCGCTTAAAAGTTCACTTTACTTCTTCGTTCTAACTTAATTCCCATTTGTCCTATCCGATAAAGACACGTCATTATTAATGCTTTCTTCGCGTGTATTTCCCATACAAAGGTTGTTTTCATGTTCCTGGAGAACAACTTATGTCCATGAAACATACAAGCTTAGTGTCCAATACTTATACCTTCAATTCTGTTTAAAGAAAGTTCTGAACACTTCTACTCTAATGCGCTGTTTGAATGTGAGTTTCAGGCCATAACGCCAAGCTAACGTAGTTCCTGTTGAAGAAAGGAACATGTTGACTACTTTATCATCTCATGACATGCTTCAAATGGATGAAAAAGATGCCAAAACTTCAAAATAAAAGCAAAACGATTCTGGTCAGACTTTTTATTGACATATCCTAATACAGAGAATAATCTGTTGTATAAATGTATATCTGATGTAAATGCCTATGAAACACAGTACTTTAAATCAGAATATAAAAACGGAACAGAATTAAAGATATTATTCATCTGTGGTGTGTAATCACAGAAACAGTTTGTGTATTATACAAACATACAATGTATATAAAACAAAATAGCAATTATAACCCCGACACAGTCCCCTATCAAAACCGAAAGCGGGACTCATGATACAGACAATCTGAAGTAACACATCCTTCTGGCGCAAATACAAAATGAAATGATGAAATTTGTCTGAAAGCGACGATTATTTAGGGCTAATGACAAGGCACGTCCAACAAATCAGCATCTGTTCTATGGTAGGACATGGGTGAGTGCCTCTTCTGCGTCTACTGTACCGTTAGTTAGGGCACTTTTACAAGAAGGCACCTCCTCATAGTGCCACTTTTACCAGTGATTTCTCCGTCGATGCATTGGTGTTGGTCTCAAATAGCCATCCAAGTTATATCCATACTATCCATGCACACTCTGTATAACACAAGTACTATACACAGTATGCAAGTACTGTCCATTACATGCAAGTAGCGTTCGTTATGTGAAAGTACCGTCCATTCGTTATATGCAAGTAATATCCAATGTGCTGCAGTAGTAACCATAATGTGCAAGTACTGTCCACAACGGGCAATTACTACCCAATATATGCAAATATAAGCCATAATGTGCAGGTTCTATCCATTATAATAAATAAAAAATCTATAACATGCAAGTACTATTCGTTACATGCAAGTAATATTTAATGTGCTGTAGTCTTAACCATAGTGTGCAAGTTTTGTCCATCACATTTACTACCCAACATATGCTAGTATAAGCCATAATGTACTGGTACTATCCATTATATTAATTAATATCCATACTATGCAAGTACCATTCATAATATGAAAGTACTATCCACTATATGAAAGCGCTATTCATTATAATCAAGCACCTTCCATTATGTGGAATAACTATATATACTATGCAATAGCTATCCATAATATGCAATAACTATCCATAATATGCAAGTACTATCCTTAACATCCCAGTTCTTTTTGAACGCGGAAAATATATTCGTCCCTAGTCGCCTCCGCCAGCAATCTGTGAGACTAGGACACATTATTCTTACCCGATAGCTTCAACATTCTCGATGCGACGTAAGGCAATACCTACTGATACCAAATGCAGAAATAATGTAGCTCCCTTAAGAGTATGCTTCACACTGTTGAAAAAACAAATTGCCTGCCACAATAATGACATTGTTGCAAGGTCTATTTCAGTGACATTGTTGCAAGGCGTATTTACTTAAAATAATCAGTCTCATTGTGTGAAATAAAAGAATATTTATCTTATCTCGTTACAAAATCTCTCCCCCCACCCCCAACGAATATCGGCCCCTTACATCATGCACCTGGTGATAATCATTGCATAAAACAGAAAGCCTGTATGAAAACAAAGGGTCTGACTGACGCTCATTATATCACAGGAATACAGCTGAAAGACGATGCAATTATACATATAAACAAATCAAAATGACTTGTAGACTGACACTAGTTTCAGATCAGATTTACACTGACCAGCCAAGTATGGCATGCAGGCATCATATGTCGCCTCCCATTAACCAAGAAACATAATTGTACAAACTGAATTGGATAAACGCATTATTTTTCCTTTTATATATGATGACATATACCTACAACTGTTCAAATACCTGTGCATACTAAATACATCACCATCTGTAGTAGAAAAGCAGACTTAGGTGATAGTCATCATCTTCTAAAGTTACAAAAAACATTCTACAAGCTGTACAATATGAATATTCTCTTCCAAGCCTCGGTGTCGTGGGTACAGCCTCGGTTTCAGTCGTCTTCGTCGTCATAGTAATCATGATTCAGTACACTGGCTGGCGCAGGATCAACTTCTTCCGGAATGTAGATCTCATACGCAGGAGAGGAACCTCTTGAGATGACCATGTACATCCTAGTGAGAAATGTATGCACATACAAGTCTTTAGATAAACCTGGTATTCGAACCCACGACAGACAGATCCTTGTAACTAAGGGACGTAACTCTGCTCAGCAAGTTGTGTCCGTAAGCCTCCCGAGCCAACTCTCAATGTATCAAGCTTATGAACACTGACAATACTTTATCGTTTCGACCCGTAAAGATCCGGGTTAGAATACACCATGATTGCCGTAAAAAAAGGGCGACTATGCTTGTCGTAAGAGGCGACTAACGGGATCAGGTTGTCAGACTCGCCGACTTAGTCATCGCATCGCAATTGCCTGGGTCGATGTTCATGATGTCAATCACTGGATAGTCTGGTCCAGACTCGGTTATTTACAGATCAACAAACAGAAAACCACATAGATGAGACTAAAGGGTCGAGGGTGGTGGTTTTATCAAACAAATGTATGACATGCATCAACCAAGTCAGCGACCCTGACCACCCGATAACGTTAGTCACCTGTTACGACATGCATAGTCGCCTGTCACGGCAAGCATGGGTTGCTGAAGATCTTTTCTCTTTTCGAAGAGATAAAGTATCGACAGTGTTAATAAGCTTGATGCATAATAAATTTCCCATGGTAACTGGCATCAACTTAAACACTTGTCCAAATTTAATTAGTTGCAACCTCTTATGCTGGGGGCAACGTGGACATGTTTTAGGAGTTTCTGGACAATGATCTCTAAAATAGTCAGTCTCCAACTGTAATATACCACTTTACTTTGTACACCTGGTGAACTAAGAATGCAGTTTGAATACTTGACTACCATATATAGTCCCGAGTTAAAGTAAAATGTTGGGTTTAATAAAATAAATAATATAAAGGAATCCTCGAGTATAAGGAACGCTCATGTGTCTTAATTTCCGGGGGTCACGGTTGGCCAGCCCAGTCGTCTAAGGCGCCGCGATTCGCTGTGTAGAGTTGCGTCCCTTGGGCACGCCAGAAACCTATGATTCGAATCCCGGTTCGCCCCGATTATGTTTCTAGCTTTGTCAGCACCATACCCTTGCTCGTGGGTTTCATCGAAGTGCTGAACGTCTGAGACCTGTATCACTTCGGACTTACCTCCCTCATTAAGCTGACACGCCGCGATATAACTGGAATACTGTTAAAAGCGGCGTTAAACCCAACTCACTCACTCTCTCTTAATTTCCGAGCTGAAATGGGGATGAATGAGTGAGTGAGTTGGGTTTAACGCCGCTTTTAACAGTATTCCAGTCACACAGCGGCTTGTCAGCTTAATGTGGGAGGAAAGCCCGAAGTGATGCAGGTCTCAGACGTTAACCACTTCGGTGAAACCCACGAGCACGGGTATGGTGCTGACAAACCTAGAAACATAATCGGGGCGAACCGGGATTCGAACCCCCAATCATAGGTTTCTGGCGTGCCCAAGGGACGCAACTCTGCACAGCGAATCGCCGCCTTAGACGACTGGGCCACCCGTGCCCCCTAAATGGGGATGACAACAGGCTGCAAAGATGAGAGGAAAGGGTCGAGATTGGTGGTTTTATAAAAAAAATATACTCTGAGGTCTGGAAAAGAGACTATTTGAATGCATATGAATCCGTTTTTTGTGGTGAGAATATCATGCGCTATTAGTTTATCCCTCTTTGAAGTGGGGTAGTACGTTGACCACACTTATTATTTTCATAAGTGTTGGATGAGTAAATGGTCCTTTGTAAAGGAGACTGTTTAAATGCATATTATGCATCCATTAATCGTAGTTGTAATGTCATGTCTCACGCCCATCGAAATTTATCATTTTTATAAGCGTGTGAAGATTAATTACCGTGTGTTAAAGAGACTCACGTGATAAGAAGGATAGCGAGGCCACAGAATCCCGACATCATGAGGAACACAGCTCCCTTCATGGTCCCAATAGTATCCTCGTAGACGGTGTTGTACAACGTGATGGACACGGTGGAACAGATAGTCTCCATGGCAGCGATGCTGGAGAACAGGGCACCTGCAGAGCACAGAGAGTCACATGTTTGCGTTTTCAAAACTACTTTTTAATAAATTTACGACGTAGGGTTCCGAGTAGGTCCCAAGCAACCTATCCTGGTCGTGTGAGACGATATAATGAATCGGGTGGTCAGGCTCAGTGACATGGTGGATTGCGGGTCAGCATACACCGACGGCGCGGTATGTTGCTCATGATATCAATCACTGGTTTGTCCGGTTCAGAGTTATTACTATGCAGCCGTCATACAACTGGGATATAGCTGAGTGCGGTGTTGAGCAAACAAACAATAAATAAATACTAAATAAATGGTAAATAGTTGATAAATAATAGTAAATTCTACAGTTTTGAACAGGTTCTAATGATTAGTATATACATAGAAAAATTGTTTCCAAACGTATCTAACGAGCGAAAACGAGTGCAGTAATCTTTTCTTACCCTAAAATCGCACAAATTCAGCATCGAATCGTGTCTTTCCTCATGATCGAAGTGGCGCAATGATACACAAAACTACGGCCATGAGTGACATCATCCGGCTGACAACTCATACCCACTGTGACCCTCCACGATTCAATTATAGCTGTGCATCTCGCGCATATGTTATAACAGTTATCTCAAACGTGTTTCTCACCGACAAGTGTGTAAGAAACAGCGTATATGTAAGTACACAAAGCACAATAATGTCGGTACACTGTGGAATAAACATTTGGTGATAGTAATAAGGTGATCCATGAAGCATGGCCGGACGATTAACACACAAGCATCGATTTCATCCTCTCCGACCAGTGACCTAGCCTTGATCAAAGGCTATTCTGATGACAAGTACATAGATGTATAGTTATTCTGTCCTTATAATAAGCAAGTCTAGAAAGGCGGACGCCAGTCTTTTATAGAAACAACTTATACTTTTTATTTATATATTCTAGAAATTATTATTTAAAATAATAATTATTGCCTTAGAGACTTGTGCAAGTCTAACCAGAGACCATAATCAGATGGAATCAGTGGTTTGACACCAGTGAGTCAGCAACCACTTGGCAAATACGTCACCACTCGTCCCTTTCCTTAACGTATACGAAGACCATTCGGTTTGTCCCGGAATGATGCGACAGTTGAATGGTTCCAGGATAACGGCTCACCTTGTTCATCAGGCGACGTCATGCGGGACATGATGGCTCGGAATATCGGAACGGTTGTGTAGCCACAGATTCCTACCACTGGCACTGCAAGGTAAAATATAGTATATAATATAATGTGATGAGTAAGGATAGCCATCACCAGGTGGGCGAATGAGCGTAGACAAAAGTCATCTTGAATCGTGATTACCGATGCAAGTACGAATTCATATGTCAATATAGCATTGCGATCCAGTTTATCACAATTGTAGTTACATTAACAAGCATGGGTGTAAGTCCGGACAGACTACATGGCCTTCTCAGGTTATCATTATAATTATAATGAATTAAAAGTGTTTACCTATATACATCATCCAGTCTGCTGTTGCAAACGCTTCCATAGCGAGAGATGCCGCCCCGAACAGCATCCCGATGATGGCGATGATCTCGTCCCGGATGCAGGGCTGGAGCAACTTAATGGCCAAGACACTACACGCGGATTGGATGGCAATACGCAGCGCGCCGTAGTATCCTATCTTCACGGAGTTCCAGCAGAACGGCAGATCTAACTGATACAACGTCTCTATGGAAGTCCTGCCGATCAGGCCAATAACGCCAAAGAACAAGATCGCCATGCACAGGTTGTATTGAAGTCGCTTTAAACCGCTTCCGTATATCGTGTAAAATCCAAAACACTTTTTGAGATGTACAACTGGCGATATGACAATGTGTTCCACCTTCCGTAACGTCTCCGGCAGCAGGAATATGACGATGAACATGGCGACGGCGAGGAGGATGGAGATCATGAGTGAGGGGTAGAAATACCCGAGGGAGGCGATGAGGTATCCTGTGGCTAGAGAGCCCACAGAGGACGCTACAGCCAGGATAGTTTCTAACACAGCAATAGCGATGGTACGGGACTTTTGTGGCGGTGTAATATCAGCTGCATATGCAAAGCAGGCGAGGAGGATGGTAGTGAAAGATCCACACAGTCCACTAATTGAGCTGCCCACAAAAAACAAGTTTAAACTCCAATCATATCTTATTATCAGAGTGCTAAGAACATTCCTAACTAGGTCTCCACATAGAGGTAATAAGAACAATATTTTCCGCCCCAAGAAGTCGGAATACGACCCAAACACCAGGTTGACGAGAATCGATGGGATGCTTCCGCAAAGGGAGAAGTAGAGGAGCTGGCGAGCCGTGTCCTCTTGAACCTTCTGGAGGATGTCCATGTGTTGCATCGTGTCGTTGTCACACGAGGTGACGACGGTGTCGCTGACGTTACTAGAGTTCGTGTACCTCTGCAGGAATCTGTGCCTTACGTACTGACTCTGGAGGGGCACCCCAGACATGGCAGCGCAAGTGTAAAGTGTCAAGATCACAGCAACGATCGTCCCTCCCCGAAGATGGCTGGCTCTTTTGGTTTGTTCTTTTGATTTTGTTAAACTTGTCTCCATTGTGAAAATTTCTGTTAAAAAACAAAGAGATACAAACATCTTAGTAAAGGTCATCCTGATTATCATAAGTCCAAGAAATAAACACACACACACATACATAAGACAAATTACGCTTCTTTCTCGAACGACCCGTGAAAATATGGGTAGAGAATAGGTCTTCAGCAACAGCATATACATATAAATAGTCTTACAAAGGACCATTTACCTCATCCAACCTTTATGAAAATGATAAGGGAGGTCAACGCACTGCTCCGCTCTACCCAGGGATATACTAATAGCGCATAACATTTTAACCACGAATAACGAATGCATATGCATTCAACTAGTCTCTTTTCCAACCTGTACCTTTCGTCTCATCTTTGCAGCCTGTTGTCATCACTATTTCAGCTCGGAGACATGATCGTTTCTTATACTCGAGGATTCCTTTACAGTATTTATTTTGTTAAACCGACCATATGACTTTATTTCGGGACGAAATATAGTAGTCAAGTATTCAAACTGCATTCTTAGTGCTTCAACAACACATGCTTGCCGTAAGAGGCGACTATGCTAGTCATAACAGGCGATTAACGTGATCGGATGGTAAGGCTCGCTGACTTGGTTGATGCATGCCATCGTATCCTAATTGCGTGGACCGATGCTCAGATGTCAATTACTGGATTGTCTGGTCCAGACTCGACTATTTACGGACCACCGTCATATTGCTCGAATATAGCTGAGTGCGGCGTTATACAATAAACCAATACATCTTTTTCCAACATCTTGGGTCCAACTCCTTATTTGACAAATATAACAATCTCACCAAGAAATGAAAAATACAAAGTCACAAAGTATCACTGGCTTATAAACCCTCTAGAATATTCTATAAAAAATACGGAAAGCGGGAAAAACGTCATATATCATTTGAACAACTTAACAAGGTCGGTTATGCAAGCAAGTCGCATAATTCCTTGTACTAGCGGCTCACAGTAAAATTGTATAAACATAACTTTTAATATGCATCTGATGATGATTTGTACTGCATGGTTATATTTTATTTCACATGAAATTTCCAAGACGTGAATTGAACCTGCAACCTCACATATCTTGTTTCGTAATGTAAAGCCGGTATTACACAAGAAGCAGTTTATTTAAAATACTTATAAATCAGTGTTGTTAAACAAAACATCGGTGACATTCATATATGTACATTTTTCGAACAAAATCAGCTTTCCTGTTACCATCAGGGTTTACCCTCGTCTATCTCTATGTTAAATACCCAGCTGTAGCGACTTCGTCTCGAAATATGAAAAATTAAAGAGAGAATTGTGACTGAAGTTTGTGTGAATGACCTTTAGATCTAACTAAGTTCCTTCAGAGATGACATCTTTGCACTGAACATGAAGTTGAAAGAATTAAAACCAAATCATTTTCATACCTCTTTTTTATTTGTTGAATGTTGGGACTGATAAAAATTAGGGCGGACTGGTAATATTTAGAGTTGATAGTCCACAAGGACTGGCAGTTTCAAAAGTCAGCGGGAACACTTTCTGGCTACATATCGGCCTGGAGACAGCAGGGGTCTGAGGTCTGACAGACCTGTCACACGCACAGACATAAATCAACAAACTTTCCGCTATCTGGGCTGCTGCCAAGTAAACGCTACAAACACCACCTTTCCAGCTGGGAGAAGACGTACATGCTTTTTTTGCATTGAGACGAAGATCATGTGACGAAAGTAAGCAATCTGATTGGTAGTTTACATGCCGACAAGTTGTAAAATGCTGACATACTGTCAACGCATGTTGAAAACTCACTCGGGGTGCACAGATATCGGTTTAGAACAAGCCGGTCTCTAGTACTCATTGAGAGTTGCTATGAGGTGAAATTAAGGTCGAAAAGGGTGACACGCGGGACTGGACAAAGTAATGTTGCAGACGGAAGTTGAGCGATAAATAATTGCCTCGTGAACCAGGGTTAAGTAACCCACAGATGATGAAAGGATGTTCTCACGTGTGACCGCCATGAGTTGTGTGTGCATGCTGCACGTGGTCTTTCTTTCGCCTCCTTACATCGAATTCGCTTTATACCGCGAAGCCCTACGTTGTTGTCTCACTATAAGGTACCCCGATGTGTTTATTTTCTTTCTGCTATTTCTTGCATTTAGACGGTTTTAAAGTTAATTATAACACTTCTCCTCAATTTTGGTTTAAAATTGGGGTCGGGAATAGCACTTGGGCCCTTCATTCCTAAACACTCGTGAGCACATTTACCAAAGCCTTGGATGTGTGTTGTATCCTAGACATAATAAATTAGAGTTACTTCCCTTTGAAAACAACAGCCGCCTTTGTCAAGATAAGCAAATAATCAAACGATTCAGTACTTACCTTACTCAACACTCAGTTTTAGAAGACCCAAGTCAATCGGTGGTGGAGGCATCCGAGATTAGAACATATCAGTGAGTTCACCTATTGTTCCATGTCAAGTGATCACGTGGGTTGTTACTAGGTCACGAAAACCTGGATTGTGATCTGTATGGACTAGTGGAGCGCACAGGTCCCGTGTTAATATACAGACTGAGGTGAACACTTCATCAGTTAAGTAATAACTTCGCCCCACTTGCTGACTGCAAAGATAGACACACTCGCCAGTTACCTGTCAGTCTGTGAGTAAACAGCGTTACGGATCACAGCTGGCAGGCCAGCAATATTTAACGACCTGGCGTCACGGCCGAACGAGTAGCTAGACTGTTACAGCCACGATCTCTCGACACTGTCTGTGCTGTGTTTCACGTGTAAGATATGATCGGTACTAGTTCTGTACTGCCATATCCTGTATGTAAACATATTGTATCACGCGGGTTGTCACATGATTAAAATAAATTAGATCAGCTGATGAACTTTTGACCTTTTCTGTAAATATTCATCGCCTTCGAAAGTCGGACCATTGGACCGTCAGTAGTCTGTCATACAGACCCTAAAACAAATATATCCAATATAGCCCATGCAAGTCTATAATGTCTGGAGGCAAGTCTAGATTATCTGAAAATGAAGAAAGTCTCTGGGCTCCTTTTTATTAAATTTTAATACTATAATTTGACAACTGTTTTTATTTCTGTAAAATATGTTCATTTCAGAGACTTGATGTTAGTCTAGACCGTCAGTTATGGACTTTACAAACTCTCCCTTCAAAGTATATGCGGAGAAAGTGATCCATAATGTTAGTTAAAAGGACTTAAATTAACTCAGGCCGTCAAAAAAAATCGTTACAGACATTGAGTATTTATTGTTCGAGTGGTTTCTGAATGTGATTAAGTATGATTTAATGTTGTTACTCGTTTAATAATTTGGACATACAAACGATATGTAAGCGTGAAGCAGCTTCTATGTTATATTTGGAAAACCACCTGTCTCTCGCGAACCCTCCACAGATGAATCGCTGTAAGCCGTGCATACTCACACGCACTGTACCCTCGCAGGGAGTCCTGGGCCAAATAGCGCTACAGCATCCAGTGCATTTCGTAATTATGAGCATCTATGATCACTCAGCAATCATGTTGGCGCCCGGTTTTCACAAGTATTTTGCATTAACCACACCATCACACGACGTCGGTTATTATCGAATGATAACCAGTGCCCTAACTAAAAATACAAGTTTTGTCATACTTCATGTTCAATTAAAATTAATTTCATAATTGTTATCATGTAATATTGTGACTGCTGACATGACCCTGTCGTGTGGCGCCTTTCCTCTGGGACATAATGAAAAAAATTAATATATCATAAACTGATGGGATCCTAATTCACAAAAGTTTTCAATTTTGCTTTCTTTTTCTGAGCCTCATCGGAGAGTTAATTGACTGTGACCCAATCCTTCTCACGCAGCCCATTTATAGTAAGGGAGATAAATACAAATTGAACTGTGTCTCTCACACTTTAACATATACTCTAGTCCTCTATATAACTGCTCCGTATTATGGACCATAAAATAACTTTGACGTTCGTAGTAGATTTTTTAACGTTGTTTATTTAAAATAGTGATACAATTTTAGCATAAAATAAGATATGTTTATTGATTTAAATCAAAATAGAACAAATTATGTAATACTTTTGATATTGTTCTGGTTGTGCTTTTCTTCACATGCCCTCGATAACCTACACTCGTAGACAGCATTCGTATTTTCTTTTCCTATCTTTTTCTTTGATTGAAGCTCGTTAGGAAATATTACCGACGGCATGGTATCGGTAACATCACGGTCATTCTCTTTAGACCAAGAGTCATCCGAAACCAACCACTGGTCGTAGTGTGGGAGTTCACCAAATAAAATATCTACGTCCAAGACTAAATCGTCCCGGTGAATGAAGTCATCCATGGCTGTGCCAAATGTAAATCGAAATAAATGGCCTGGGCCCATAAGGACACGTATTTCGCGGAAGACATATCTTCAGCGAATAATTTGCAGCTAACTGACATGTGCTATTGAGAGATAAGATAAAAGACATTGTAATCCGCCAAGAGCCGTCCGTTTATTTTGATTGTCGTAATCGAAGGAATTACCTCCAGCCCCGGATATTATATAATATTGTTCACATGGTTACCAGAATGGTCAGTTGGGAATGTCTGCGCATCTATTGCTCATATGCAGCTGTACGGGGGGGGGGGGGGGGGGTGTGTGTGTGTAACAGCAGGGTGTCAGGGTGTACCGGTTACATGCCAGATCGTAGCGCTGATGGTTAGTGATAAACTGTTTGGGAGGGCCGTCCCTCTATTTTATGGTCTCTGATGTAATGCACTTTAGCATATACTCATCAATGATAACAGGTATTGTGCATGTGCGACAGTGCCAACTTGGAGACGGTGATATCACAGGGGTTGTAATAACCATACCCGCTTTACACCCCCTGCCGGGCTGATAAAGCTTGTCAATGCATTTTGAATGGCCGATCGATATCAGCCCTGGTGGTAAGAAATTAGAGTTACGTCCCTTGGTGCGTCGTCTGCTCGGCTTGCTTTCCGGTGACAATTTCTTCAAAACAAGGTAAACATGTTTGTATGGATAATCACGGAATTTAGAGATGTTTTGTGAATGGATACTTTTTACCATTTCATATTATAGTATATGATACAAAGCTTTCGGCCCTTCGGGTTTATATAGGATATGATATGAAAACGATATCGTATCGTGACCTGTGTATCGTCTTACTCCTCACTACTTGTGAGTGAGTATAGTTTTACGCCGCCTTCAGCAGTATTCCAGCAATAACAGGGCGGGGGACACAAGAAATGGGCTTCACACACTTCACCCATGTGGGGAATAGATCCCGGGTCTTCGGAGTGACGAACCAACGGTTTAACCACTATAGGCTACCCCACCACCCCTTACTACTACAAGCATAAACTTTTTGGGGTTGTAAGTAGTCTGTCTCAATCTCCCAAATATTATTTTCCCTGTGATGATATTGCAATAAATGAAGAAAGCCTTGATTCTCCCCAGGTTCTGAATCTCCCATCTGTTCCAATTTAAAGGGAGTTGTTTGTTTCTCTCCAAATTATATATTTTCAGAGACTAAACATTAGTCTAGGGTTGTGTGGTAGCCTAGTAGTTGACGTGTTGGCTCGTCAACCCAGAGGTCCGGGTTCGAGTTACAAAATGGGTACAATGCGTCAAACAGGTTACAGGTATCTCCGTCGTGATATGGCTGGAATGTTGATAAAACCAGGGTACAATACAACCCACTACTAACCTGTTCATGATCTGTAAACCATTATGAACAGTGAGATGAAGGCTTCAGTGATAAAGACATTGCAAAGATCAAATAACAACAATAGTGTGTGGCCAAATTCACATAAAGTTTCCACCAATTCATCTGCAGGTGTAGGTATTGTAATGCTGTAGGTATAATTGTAGTTACAAATTCGCTATTGAAGTCAGTGATCGCATTGTCGCGTCGGTCAAATATCATAACGCTCTAACATTAATCCGGAGTGTTGTACCGCCCTCTCCTTTCTCCTTTCCGATTATATATATCGTATGTATACCGTTAACGTGCAACAGTGATTGGAGTCACAAGATAGCGTCAGAAAACGGAACCGTACGCCTTTCCAAAGTGCTCGTCTCACAAGTAGTACATTTTATAAATAAGATTGTGTAAAGGTTTTCTGTCGTGTTTGTAAGAACATGAAAATACATTCGATAATTTGAATACTTTATGCTGCTTACATGAAGAGTGAATGTATGAATTTTACTACGTCAGTTCTTTCCGTTCTACTGGTTCTTGTAACTAAGATCCAACATTCAGAATGTGAAATGACAATTTTATAATCTGATGCATACTGTCTCCATGATTCCACAGGCGCATGCGCAGTGGAAACATATTTGGAGAACTCGGCACGCCCAAGTTAGACACCCTGATCACTCACTCATTACTTTTTAAGTTCACTGTTTCTCCCAGAACATAACTAGTATAAGTGTCACGTCATGCAGTATATCATGGCCATGAATGATAACAGATAAATCCAAATAGATAATTCTGTCCAGATGCCAGATAACAGAGAGAATATATTTATGAAAACTGTTCATCCGTGTAATATGTGGCACATGGAGACAATACTTATATCGGTGATACATTTCCATATAGATTACTATAGATCTGTTACATTTATTAAACAAGCAGCGAATAGCTACAAGATTGCTGATGCGGCGTTAAGCAATAATTACTCACTCACTCTATTAAACAGAGTAGCAAGTGTGTGTTGTACCGAGTTATTAGTCCCTGAGTTGTTGGTGAGCTGACAGTGATGTTTTCACAATTGAGGTAGGTCAGGCGCATGATCATTATTTTGAACAGAAACGCGTTGTGAAACATGGAGCGTTGGAAGCAGTGCACTCGAAAATCTGCAATCACAACTTCTTAAAAATGTTGTTGAATGTTACAAAATGCAGACAACATACTATGATATATGGGGAAACTGAAACTTTCACGTTATCTGTACACATTAATTCCAGTGTTCTTTGTTGGTCAAAATTAGTGTAATTAAAATCTGCGAAGTTGTCACTTTTGATGTATGAATTATCACTCAATGATGTTAATCCTGGCTTCTGTAAACATGAATGAATTACTAATGTAAAATCAATACTTGAAGATCTGGGATTTGGTGATGTTTGGCTGTCACGATGTGGATTCGATATAAGTAACCAGAGAACCTTTATATCCCAAAGTCTTAAAGACCAGTTTTGGATGTAAAATATAAAATGCCATTATTGTACTTTAGATTATCAAATCATTAGCACTTAGTAGAAACTGGCAGATGGAAAAAAACACCATTGTATTAAAGCTGTCCATTCTGTAATCAAAGGGATTTGGGAGATGATTTCCACTTTATTTTTGTCTGTACTTTTTTCAGTAATAATTGCCTTAGGTATCTGCCAGCATACTTCACACATCATCCAAATGTTCCGTTCTCTCTTCTCAAGCCAAAAAGTTAGTATACCTAAAAATATCAGTAAAATTTGCAATTAGATTTTAAAACAATTTAAGTCTTCCCGGTAAGTTCAACATCTCTGTCTCTCTGTAACTATTGTACCAAATGTTTACCCAATCCGCAATCTTGTATTTACATATTATTGACATTATTGTAACCCTCGTATGACGTGGTTCACGGCCACAGTGAACATAAAGCTCTGTGAATATGCGTCGATGTTCAGAGGATAAGCAAGGGACGATTAAATTATGTCGGTCTCTTTATTAGACACGTGAAGATCCCGGGTAGAATATTTCTTCAGCAACCCATGCTTGCCGTAAAAGGCGACCATGCTCGTCGTAAGAGGCGACTAACGGG